AAACGTATATATGGTGACATCATTCCATCACCATTAGCAGATAGGCGGTTATTTGTTTTAAAGCAACCAGTTGGTGTTGTTGGTGCAATTACCCCATGGAATTTTCCCTTGGCTATGATTACCCGAAAGGTTGGCCCTGCTCTTGCTTGTGGTTGCACAGTGGTGATTAAACCGTCTGAACTCACACCCTTGACTGCTTTAGCAGCAGCTGAACTCTCCATTCAAGCTGGAATACCACCGGGCGTAGTGAATGTTGTTATGGGAAATGCACCTGATATTGGAGACGCACTGCTTGCAAGCCCACAGGTAAGAAAAATTACATTCACAGGTTCAACCAAGGTTGGGAAAAAATTGATGGAAGGTGCTGCTGCCACCGTTAAAAAGGTGTCTCTTGAGCTAGGCGGTAATGCACCTTGCATCATCTTTGATGACGCAGATCTTGAAGTAGCTTTAAAAGGAGCTCTCGCAACAAAGTTCCGTAACACCGGACAAACATGTGTATGTGCGAACAGAATACTTGTGCAAGAAGGGATATATGATAAATTCGCAAATGCTTTTGCTAAAGCTGTCCAAAACATGAAAGTTGGAGATGGTTTCACTGAAGGTGTAGAGCAAGGCCCTCTAATCAATGAAGCAGCAGTACAGAAGGTTGAATATTTTGTGGATGAAGCTACTTCAAAGGGAGCCAAAGTCCTTGTTGGTGGGAAGAGACACAGCCTTGGCATGACTTTCTACGAGCCTACAGTTGTTACTGGAGTTAACAGTGAGATGCTCTTGGCGAAAGAGGAAGTATTTGGGCCAGTCGCCCCTCTTTTGAAGTTCAAAACAGACGAAGAAGCAATCCAAATGGCTAACGACACTAATGCTGGTTTAGCTGCTTATATATTCTCAACAAACATCAAAAGAGCTTGGCGTGTTACTGAAGCTCTCGAATATGGAATTGTCGGAGTTAATGAAGGACTAGTTTCAACCGAGGTAGCTCCATTTGGGGGTGTGAAACAATCAGGTCTTGGCCGCGAAGGTTCTAAATACGGGATGGATGAATATTTAGAGATGAAATATGTGTGCTTGGGAAGTATGAGCTAAATCACCACTGTAAAAAAAAAATTTCTCAATAATAAGAGACACAATGGTGCCAGTCTCATTTTGGGTTTAATGAAGTTTTTCACGTCTTTATGAATGAACACATTTTAGTGTCTTTATTGGCTCTCATCTTTTCAATTGCTCTATTTTTTCCTGTTATCGATTGCTTTCTTATAGCTGATTAAATAAATTTCATATACCTATACTCACATAGGAGCTTGACTAAATTCTAATTGCATCATGAAGCCCCACGTTAGACCAATACTCATATAAGAGCCTGGCTAAATCCAAATTGCCGCTTCGGCTTGCGCTGAAAAGTTTCACGCTTTGGATTGTGTTGGAAAGTCTCACGTTAGGGTAAAACGTTTCAATCGAGCTAAATACTTGGATAGACAATATTTCGACTAAATTCAAATTGTGTCGAAAAGTTCCACACTGGAGATGAAGCGCTCCAAATTGACCGGAAAGTCTCACATTGGGGTAAAACGCTTTCTACTAAAGATAACTTGGCCGGAAAGTCTCACATTGGGGTAAAACACTTTCTACTAAAGATAACTCAGTAACAGTATCAGACCCCAGAGTAGTAGTTCAAGAGCGCTCGACGAAACCTTAATTAGGCCAGAAAATGAGCTTGACTAAATCTTAATCAGGCCAGAAAGTCTCACATCGAAGATTAAACGCTCCAAATTAACGAAAAATTTTACTTAAAATTTAACGCTTACTAATAAAGGCAACTTCGTCCTCCGAGCATTTTTCGGGTAGACATGACCCTTAAAAAAGACCCGAAACTTCCATAGAGAGGGGTTTAGAGAGGGTTTTTGGTGGAAATATGTTGAAGTTGCCTAAACGGAATTTGCCATGGCTGCAGCTGAGACGATTATCAACGGCGATTCGACAAACTGTAGAAGATGAAGGCGACTGGTTTTATTCATCGGAATGGTGGGGCACAACTTCCGGTGGTGGCGACACAGTTTTCCGATCAATTTCCGATAAAGGAAACGGCGTCGTTTCTGTCGTAGCTTACCCTTCTTCCAAACCAGTTCAGTCTTTCTTTCTCTCCCTTCTTTCGATTGAAATGTTGTTGTTTTTGTTATTGGATGTGAATATTTCCTCTAAAAATGTTATTTTTAATAGGAAAACTGTTATTGGGGGAAAACAGAGAATTGGCTTCAAAAGAGGTATGAAAAGATGTATCCAAGAGATGAACAGGAAGGGAATTTCAGGATTCTTGGTTACCAATGGCGGAATCTTCACTTTAATGAGGAGACTCGTCAAAGCACAGTTAAAATAATGGCTGCTTATAGGGATTCAGCTCCTGGTTCTATATACTTGATGCAGCAGGCAGAGTGTCTCGCTGTTCCATGTATGTATCGCGTTATTTACAGCTCTTATGCAATAGTATGATCATGTAAATGGAATATATGATTCTCTAGGAGTATAGTTCATTACTTGTACATTTAGTGTCTACATTAGAAAAGAAAAACAAGTCATGCTCTAACAATAAACTGGGATGAATGATACTATTGTTGCCTTATTCTTTTCAATAGCTGGTTAATCCTCTTAAAAATGTACTTTTGTTCCTAGTTTTGTATTTGGTTCTTGAGTTGGTTGGTCGTCGTTATCAAGTATTAATTTTGCTGTATTACTATGAACAAGGTCCAGTGTATTTGATAAGAAAAAGATGTGTCGATTTAGTACAGAATTTATGGACGTTGAAGGTCCAATGTAATTTGTTTTACAAGATCCTTTCTGACATGACCTTAGAGTAAATCGTGCTTATACAGTATTTAATTATTGGAAGTTAAGGTATCGTACTTATGCCAGTTCTCCTCAATCATCAATGATGATCATACTTTCACATTTTTAATGCAGCATCTTTTCATGTTTTCTCTACAGATGTGAAGAGCATGGTCTCTGCTGGGTTGGCTACCATTGCATCTTGTAGATTCGATCTTGAAAGTGCAGTTTGTGGGAGAAAACCAATGAAAATTTTATGCATTGGGCATGGCGGAGGAAGCATACCGTTGTTTTTGGCTAGTAAAATCCAAGGTTTGAACTGAGTGCTGTTTTTCCTGCCTTTGCTGCTCTTTAAGTCTCTGAATTTGAGCATTTTTTTGGGTGACATTGTGTATTTGACAAAGTATGAACGGGAAATCATTATCCAATCCTTCTTTTCACTGGATGTGATATTAAAGACACATACTTTCTCCCTTTTATGTAAAATCTTATCTTGAATGTAAATTTTGGGGAGGTAATCTGACATGAGATGATGCAGAAAACTCAAGATTATGTATTTCTTCAACTATAGTTGATATCCTCTGGATGACCTCAAATACAATATTGACTGAATTTCTTTCAAGTTTCTGAGGGAACTTCCATTTTCTCATAGATTATGTACAGGATGTGAGGTCTGCTGGAAGAACAAATAATAAAAATGAGTGTTTTTTTAACTACAGAAATTTCATTACTGTATGCTTGGATCGCTAGGACAAGGGGCTTAAATAATGAAAGATTGTGTGTATCATACCACAAATTCATCCCTGTAGTTCTTGTTTGGTTCACATAGATGTGGTAAATTTGGATATGCTGTTGTTCGTAGTAGTAGAATTTGAAGCACTGCTACTCCAAATATTACAAAGTTCTGAAGCTCACTCTTGGCTTTTTGGATAAAGTTGTAAAATGAACACCTTGGATAGCTTGTATTCTTGCATTGCATATCTCCCAGTCAGTGTTTCCTTACTATCCACTTGGATATATTTACGAATTTCAGTGATAATAGTCATAGTACTTCTGTCCAACATTTTCTCGGAGAAAAGATATGAATATCAGATTACCTAGAATTGGAACTACTTTGTTCTCTGCTTTTTGAATCCCTTCAATGGCATTGCAACTTCAATTTCTAGTTTGACAGACTTGACACTCGTTCCGAAACTAACTGTTGCTTGTCTTAATTTGTTGTACCAATTTGCGAAATGTCTGTTTTGGAATTAACCTCTTCGATGTATCAGGTGCTGAAGTGCACATAGCTGAAATCGACCCTGTGGTAATCTCAGCCTCAGTTCAAGCAATGGGGTTCCCATCTTACTCAGTTATGACTCCATCTGGTAGCCGTGCACACTCAACTCCTGATCTTATCCAAGAAGTTCAATGGAAAGGCATTCATGAGAGGATTCAATTACATGAATCAGATGCTGAGAAATTCCTCCTCGAGAACAAAAATCTTTATGATCTTGTTTTCATAGACGCATATGACGGGGAAGATATCTTTCCTCACACCCTATGGGATCCACACTCTCCATTCCTCAATGCTCTCGCAGACCAACTTCACCCTGAGCATGGAACTGTTGTCGTAAACCTTCACTCAGATGTAGACTTCAGGGATGATGATTTCATTCCACCTGGTTCTCACCTTTTGCCAATGGGAAAGTATATTTCGAAAGTGTGCCGATCATATAAAGAAGCTCTATTAGGGAGTAAGAGTTCCTATAATGGTCTGGCTTATGTAGTTTCTGTGCCTTGGGTATGTAATACATCTCTTGTTGTGAGCAGAGGTTTAGAGAAATCTAATAGAGATATGGTTATGAGGAATATCATGTCAAAATCCCTAGTTGTTGAGAATACTCTTGACTTGCCATTTTCTTGTATGCAATATCTGAAAAGAGGTTTTACTCTGGTTAATTAATATGAATTAAAAGTATTTTGCCTTCACTTCAAAGACGTTATATTAGTTGAGGTGTACACAAGTTGATTAAATTAAAACATCGTTGCTAATACTGTACTTCTTGAATGTAGGATGATATGAACCTACTCGAGATATATTTGACCACCAGGTACGTTTTAAGAAAGACAATATTTGATGTCTTGATCTCTTTCTAAATATTCTTAAGAGTTCACTAGACATTAGAAATAACAAGGAATATTCAAAATTAGTACTTCATTGACAACATAAACAAGTAGCATACTAGCATTATAGCAAATGAAGTTCTAATTAGGTGCAATTTGTTGTTGAACATTCATTCAAGCACCTTCCCATTAGCTCCTTATCTAGGAAAAAAAAACCAAAATTGTTAAAAGTAAGTCATAAACTTGACATTATTGAGACAAACATAGAGAGAGAGGGGGGGGGGGGGGGTCATAGGGGGTGAGAAAATTAACGCATGAAAATATGACTCGTTCAATCGTCTTAAAGTTGGGTAGGTTATGAAATCGCATATTTATTACGAAAATCTTGTCAATTTTGTAGGGGTAAAATCTTCATTCTATCTTTTTCATACCACACTTATGAAATGATACTGATTCTATCTTTTCATACCACACTCATGAAATTATACTGAGTGTACTGTTGATTAGTTATCGTTGAGAAATCTCGTCAATATATTTTAAAAATACTTTTCGTTTTTGTTTACATGTTATATGCAATGCTTACAAAAAAATTAAGAAATTAAAATTAAGAAATAATTTGATAGGTTAGGTCATGACTCGTTCTTAGTCCATTTCAATCAAACTCATTTCAGATCAAGTAATTTTTCATCTATTTTAATCAGCTTAATTCAATCCAACCGATCCATATGAATTAAAAAAGAACATTGAAAGAATTATACCTTGTTTAAACTTGTAGCAATGTTGAATGAAACAAGCAAGTTTACAATTGAATTCTTTAGAAGAAATAGAATGTGGACAATAATTCTTTATACAAATGTCTGTGCAAATAGGATTGAAGATACAAGCAAGTCTACACTTCCATTCACAAGATATTTTTTCTCCATTAGTAGCATTGTTATTTGCTACAGAAATCATCATAATAATGAAAAGTCTCACTATTAGAACCTTTGTGAAATTCATTGTATGTAGTTTTTTTTTAGACTTTTGTAGTTGGATGGTAGACTTTTAGGTACTCCTATATATCTATAACTAAAAATATTTAGTCAAATAAAATAAATGCACTACAATTTGATAATCAAAGCTACATTACTCCCTGTTTCAAAATATGTGTCACTAATTTATGGTTATTTTCTTTTAAAAGCCAAGTAATATGAATTTTGATTAATATTTTATCTTTTTGTTAATTTTTACTTGTCACTTGTTTTTAACTTTCATTTTTACTTGTTACTTTTGACCAGTGATTTAAAAGGGCGGGGCGTTTTATACGGAATAGGGTGAGATGTAGGCCTCGAGACATGGGACGTAGTCTCGTGTATATTTCATTTTATAGTTTTATTACTAATAAAAGTAAATCTTTCAATAATTTATGATTTTTATTTGAGATAAGTATTCATAATTAATAATTAAGAAAAGATAGTATAATTACTATTTGAGAAATATTATTACACCGGTAGTAAAAATGTGATTTAAAAAAAGTTTTAAAAAATAAATTAAAAATGTCGGGAAGCACGTTTTATGCTCGGGGCTTACGCCTCAAATTTTAGGACTTATGCCTTATGGATCTACGTTTTTTATTTACGCCCTTTGGTATTGCCCCGCCCTGAGACTCGCCTTAAATACGTTTTTTAAAACACTATTTTTGACATATCAAGAAAAGACAATTATTTTTTCTCATATTTTACACTCAACATTTGATACTCACTCCGTTTCAAAAAGGATAACCTAGTTTGACTTGGAATGGAGTTAAAGAAGACTTTTTAATCTAATGGTTCAAAATTAAAGTTATGTCAAATGTACCAAAATGTCCTTTAATCTTGTGGTCTTAAACATGCCACGTAAAAGTTAAAGTTAAAGTGTTGCCAAAAAAAGAAAGAGACATTCTTTTTTAAATAAACTTAAAAGGAAATAAGGACATTCTTTTTTAAACGGGTGGAATATTTATTTTCCAAAGCATTTTCCAAGACAACATTTAATAAGGATGATTTTATCAAATACTTATATCAATAATTATTTTCTTAATAGACATATCAAGTCAAATTGTGACAAGTAAAAATGAGTAGAGGGAGTAAGATATATTATTTTTAGCATGTTGATATGAGAAGATTGTTATTGTAGTAATTTTTGTATAATTTTTTAATTTTTAATTTTTTAATTTTAAACTTTTGAATTAATCTAATGTACCTTATCTCTGATAATTAATTAAATTGAATTTTGAAAAGCGAAATATAAAGACCGTTTTGAAACGTGGAGTGTATATACATACTATAATTTGACCACTAATGTAAATGCTAGCAAGATTGGACTTGATTTTGTGATATTTACATTATGTTTGGATTATTGTTATCAATTGTATTGTATTGTATCGTTATTATATTTACAATGTTTGTTTTGATTGTTACTTAAAAAGTATTGTACTGTATTGTTAAATTTTGTTGTTACGTAACAATGAAAACTCCTATGTTCCCATTGTTACTTAATTTCTTTTTCCAATTATATCTTTACATAATATTTCAAAATACCATTTTACCCTTTACCTTAATTATTTAAAGCTAGTCAAACCTTCTACCCTAGAATAATTAAGGATATTTAAGTAAATTTATAAATTATAATATAATACGATACAATCAAACCAAACATCTAAAATGTTATTAAACAACAACAAACAATATAATCTAGCCAAACATTGTATCTACCATACAATACAGTACAATAGAATACAATACATATAAAATATTTGGATAACAATGATCCAAACAAAGTGTTACTTTTTGGAATTTTATGTGACCACTCACTTTATTATCAGACGATATAAGTGCTATATAAATGTTGGATCCGATCCCTCTCCATTTTCCCTAAGTTTTAGTTTGGATTAGAAATACATGTAATAATTTAAAATTAATGATTGAGATTTAATTGTTCACAAAAAAAATATTGTTAATTTATTGTTATTAGGCTATTTGGGTTAATGATTATTTAATGTTTTTATAAAAAAAATTATTAAGTTATCATTTGATATTAATTTTTTAATATTAGGTTAACCAATAACCATTAAAAATATAATAATTTACTACTTAACCTTTTGATCGTACATAAATATCAAATAAAAAATATTAATATAATAACTATGTTAGACTATAATTATCAGAACCATACACAATTAATACTACTTAACTCTAAACTTCTGTGTTTATCCTTTAAGTTTTAGTATTACTTTAGTCTTTGTTCTTGCGATTTAGTCTAAACTTGTTTTGATATATGTTTATATCACGTTAAATGATTAAAACAAGTCATATATTTATTTTAAAAGTATATTCTTATTAATTAAAATCATTAAAAACCAAAAATCAATAAATTAAAATTCAATAACAAATATCTTATTAATTTAATATATTTAAAAATTAAAAATTAATAAACTAAATAAATAACCCTTAAAACCAAATCGAATAGATACATGCTATACAAATAACTAGGGCGCACACAGTTTTGAACCGCCAACAACAAGAATTAATATTATTTACTTTTTTAATAACCAAAAATGCATGCCACGTGTGGCAAAATTCACACGTGTACACAGTTTTAGAACACATAGTAAATTATTTTCAGTATTATATATTTAAAATTGGTGTTAAAAGTTCGAATACGAATTATATATCTAATAACTTTTAGGGTAACTTTCACATATAGCAAACAAAAAAATCATATTTGTATAATATAGCAAATTTTGCATAATTGCGCTCCATAGCAAACATAAAAACTGTATAATTCGCTATACATATAAAAGTGTATAATTCGCTGGCCTAAATTGTATAATTCGCTAGCTATTTCGCTGCAATTGTATAATTAGCTTTGCATACAGTTGAATCGAATTAAAATGTATGTATATTGCATAATTATAAGTGTATAGCAAGAAAATATATGTTTTTCTCGCTTTATACAAAAACAGAAACACAATATATACACTTCTGTTGTATAAAGCTAGAAAAATTGTATTTCACTGCAACTGTATAATTCACAATTGTATAATTCTTTGGCCTTTTTCTCTGCAATATTTGAAGTAAAATGTTTGTAAATTATATAATTAAGTGTATAACACGGAGATATACATTTTTGCATGTGTATATACAATTTTCTCTCGCTTTATACAAAACAGAAACAGAAATTATACACTTCTGTGTATAAAGCGAGAGAGGCGAGAATGGAAGAGTGGCGAGCGAGACTTCTGGAAGAGAGACGCCTGGCAAATTTTTGTCAATATTTGCTATGGAGCACAATTAAATCAAACCCTAGCTATTCAATTTAATTTAGGTTATTAGTTTGCTTTTATACAATTTTCCCTAACTTTTATTCTAATAATATATTCATAAATATCAAAATTATAACATAATTATTAATGATTAAAATCGTCATCTAAAAAGGAAAAATGAATAAATATATTCGAATTATCGTAGGTAGTATGTTGATAGATATCCTCCGTCATATTTTTGAAGTATTGACTCAGGGGTTTTTTGATGGAAAATTATATTATTTATACATAGATAAAGTAATTTTCTAAATATATATAATAGTTGTTGAACCTCTTTAGGCTACTTTCTGTGTTTATTTCTCCAGATTATGAACCCCTTATTAAAATTTTGGTTTCGCCAGTGTTGGTGCCTCTGTTGTCCAAAAAGTGAAACATGTATACTCTTTATATTAACTAGCATACATGTGTAATATCTTGTCCACCAATCTTACGTTTATTAAATATTAGATCGACAAATAAAATGGAATCAAGTCTTCCGTTAAATTAAAAGATATATATGCTCTAGTTTTTTAATAATATAAACACTATAATATACGATATACCATTATTTAAAAATATATTTATTATTTTTTATTTTAAATTATAAAATTAAAATTTTAACTCCGCCTCGTAAGTCAAAATAGAAAACAGGAAGCCGCACACAACACAAGCTTAAATTTTGTGTGCTACAAAAAACTTCATCAGTATATAAACAGTCACTTTGTGATAATACTTCAAACCATAAAAAAAGGAGAAAAAAAAATTGCAGAAAAATGTCTGGTTTGATAAATATTTGGACAACTGAATTTTCAAAGTTGTTAAACAGGGAAAGTGCTAAATCAATTTCAGCAAAAGGATCAAATCAAAAATGTGAATTAATTGGTGAAAAGTTTGAGATTATGAAGTTGCCAATTTTGCAGAATTATTACTACTCTGATGCTTCAATTTCCATGATTGTTCATTGTGTTAGCCCTTGAAGGAACAATGTTTTTTTTTTTATATATATATTTATGTTTATGAGGAATAATGTACAGATTTAATTTTTGGTTTGTCTATAGATCTGATTTTCAGCATAGTACTAATGTGTATTATATTTGTTGAATCCAAATTATAATTGAGAATTAAAGCAAAGGTAATAGTGAATAATGATAATATACTAAGGATGTGGTGTAGTGGATCAGATAAGTTCAGTCTTAATTAGAGCTTCGTAAGTACAAGCCATGAATATGATTTTTTTTTTGTTAAAGAACATTCATGAGTTGAATTTAAAATAATTGAATTTCAATACAATTATTACGGATAAATATGAGGTCTGCTATCTTAATTAACAAAATTACGTTTTATTCATATTTTATTTGTATAATTTACTTATTTTTCATATATTTAAAATTTATTGCAAACAGTATCATATACTAATGTGTCAAGCATAACCAGCTTTTAATTCATAAAATTTTGCTAAGATAGTTCATTTTCAAAATTCCGTAGTAATCAATTTTTACGCATCTCGATTAATTTTACGACATCGATTCCCACTAGCATACAAAATCATACTACAGTTTCTTCTATCCAAGCCGTACTTATTGATGCAGAGAAGCAGAAAGGAAGGGAGTAGCCATCAGGTGAGTGAATATATTTACATGTTTGCTTTAATTTTCTTATCATTATCATTTATTAGGATCGAAATAATCAGATGTAATGT